TAATGGAAAACATATCTTATAATGGAGTTTATATCCCTAGTTAGAATACACTTTTCAGACTTAATACTACATTGAAAAATCAAAATGAAAGAATATGTGCTAATCCCCTATATATAATTTCAAAACGTGCTGAACTTAAGTGACAGTTTTGCACGCTTCATAATCTTACAGGTCAAACTATTATGCTTTGTAATATGGCTCGGATTACCATATATATACACATATTTCATATATTTAAAATTAAATCATTCCATATAAATTTATTTATTATCTTGTTTCTATAATGTGCATATAATCATATTTTTCAAACTTTGTGTTTGTTCATACTATTCCCTTATGTGTTTTAAATGCAAATATTATAAATAAAATTAATAATGTACATAAAATAGTTTTCAGAATTTAACATAATATTGTTAATTCACTTAGTTATTTATTATAAATTGTTATATAATGTTCTTTATTTATTTTTTTTCAACTTCAACAAAATGTATAATTTTTTTATTTTTTACTGTACATTTAATTATTTTATCAACCACTCGTATAGTATACATGTATTGTACTAGTCTTTAGTGAAAAATGAAAAAAGAGGGATAACAAAGCAGAAAAGAGTAGTCAAGGTCAAGGACAAAGAAATTAACAAAAATTTCAAGCCCAATCAAGAGGCTTAAAAAAACAAGAAATTACCTTGTGCACTACTCCATACCATTTTTATTATAACTTTACTGTCCATATATTTTTATTTGCAAAATCACTAAAATCATATAATTTATTTACACAAATACCTTAATGTTAGTTTAAACATAATTATCTTTAAATATGGAAAAACATGGTATGACCATAACTGACTCCAAATAATAAGGAATAAAGAGGTGTGACCAAAACCATCTCCACAATTATTTCTTCCACCGTTTCAATTGCCCACAATTTCTCAATTCTCTCCCTCATCTGCCATCTTTCACAGCAAAAAAAAAGTCCCAATTGCCATCGTTTTTTTCTTCTTTTTCTGTTTCCCTTTGCCGGCGTCTTCCCTCGAGTAGCCATCCATCGTCACAGCAGCCCCGTTCATCGTTTAAAAANGGCGACACCAACCTTGTCGCCGATATCCTCTCCAAGCGAACAACAGCGTCCTCGCCGCAAGCAACCGCCAAGCAACAAAGACCGCGAGCCTCCTAGCCACAAAACGTGCATCGAGCCCTCATCGTCGCCGTCCTCGAGAACGTCGTTGAGAACGTGCACGCCGCCGTCTACCGAGTCATCCCCGCGGTCGTCATCTCCAGGTAGGCGATCCGAGAATCATTCTCCATGGAATCGACGAGAGAGACGAAGAATATCTTTTACGGAGGATGATTTTGGATTGGAGTATATGTACAATATATGTACTGTATATTACTCGCGTCCTCCCAAGCCATCCCGCAGCCACCACGGCATCTTGGCCGATGATGAACGTAAAATATACTGTTTTTCCACGTTTATTTGATGTATATTTTTCAGTTTATTTGATATAAGTCAATTTATGTTGTTTCATTTTTCGATATTTTAAACACAAACATACACGGAAAATATACTGAAAATATACTATTTTTCAGTTTATTTGATATAAGTCAGTTTATGTTGTTTCATTTTTCGATATTTCAAACGCAAACATACACTGAAAATATACTGAAATATAATGATTATAAACGCAATATACACTGAAAATATTCAATTGATACTAAAAATATACACTAGAAAAAAAAATAAAGACGCACATAACAGAAAAAAAATGAGAGTTCTGTTTTGTTTTTTGCAAACAGTTTAGAAAACATACACAAATCACGCGCACAAAAAGAAGGAGAGGAAGTTCAATTGATATGGTAACTAAAATAGGCATTAATGTAGTTAATTTTATCTTTTAGGTAAATATATAATTAATTTAATGAGGTGGTATTGTTGCAATATTCTTCATATCAGGTAGGAGAAATAAAAATTTCTCGAAAAAAACTGTATCTAACAAAAACGCGGTGATGACTTGTAAACAGCATTTTCTAGGGCCAACATGCCTTATCAGTTATCAAGGTTGATGTTGCTGTTTTTCCTTCCTTCAGCTCTTTTTCTTCCCACAAAATTGTACGAAACAAAAGTAAAAGTCTATACAGACCTAGATGGTATAAATTACGCCTTCAAGCCCGAAAAAAAAAACAAAAAAATCCGTCATAGTCTACACAATGCAGGAAATACAAACAAACATCCGGGACTCCATAAAATAAAAATAAAAAAATAAAAAAAATCCTTTAATTGTGTGTGCTACATTGAACCTNAAAAAAAAAGGTCTAAAAGCTTTCTCATTTCACCTTCCAAACAACCACATGTCGGAAAAAAAAGAGAGTACCTGGATTAATGCCCATAGTGCCCAGTACAGGTGTGAAGCTAGCATATAAGCATTTGTCTCTGCATAGATAGCTTCAAGGTCTTCATCACAAACCTGTCATTTTTTTGCCAATAGTCATAGATGAGGAAAAAATGGATGAGCATGATATGATCAATTAGCGATATATGGCACATATTCTCATTCTCGATATCTGTGTTTATGTACCCTTTCTATTATATATGTATATATCTATTCTATTATAATTCTATTATCAACATAAGAAAAAGTTCCGATTGAAATTACTGGAGTTTACGTGAAACGGTGAAAGTTCTATGTTATTGCAATAATATTGCAGCTAACCTTTATTTAAGTATGTGAATTTACAGCAGTCATGTATACTGAAACAAATTGAGCAGAACATGAAATAAAAACAAACAAACATAATTATCATAATTACACATGAGATACTCACATACCTCGTCTGGTCTCTCTGGTATTAAATAGTGCCTGAAGAAGTAATATTGTTCGTCTTTGCTTGGATACCTGCAGCAGGCAGCAGCACCAGGTTCAAGAAAAAATACAAATCTTATCATCAGTCTATAAAGACGAATTTGTATGAGGAAGAAGACATACATGCTATAATCACATTCATAACCAGCATATTCATTGAAGTGATTTCCAATGTCGAAACCCCGGTAATTGTAGGATCCATACTCAAAGTCAATGAAGTAAAGCTTATCTGAAAATATTCCAGTGAAACTAGGGGATCAGCATACACGTATTACACAATATCAATTGAAAAGATAAAAGTGGCTAGGAATTGCTTGGATGTAGCTATTTATACAATTTTTCATATTTCCAACACAGGAAAACTCTTTTGGATTTTCACAAACTTGCTTAACTATGCCCATAGCTTTATATGTCCGAATAATACATACATGACATGAAGCAACCCAGTTGGAATAAAACTCGGGGAACTTTGAGAAAGTGCAGTTAGGATATGGCAGCCATATAAGCAACCTGTTCTTTATATTTTCCACTTTTCACAATAAGATATCAATTCCCAATGGATAAAATGTAGAGGTAGTGGTGGAATATTTTAGATTCTAATTGCTGCAGTCAATTTTATTAAATAAGGAAGACAAATGATTGCGTCTGAAAGATTTGGAGTCACCTAGATGATCTATGAATCTTCTGATGTTAGGAATCAAAGCTAGTACTCATGTTCATTTGGAAAGGTGGCTTGTAATACCATAAATTGAGTAGAAGCCTCAACTCTGAAACTCAGTCTATCAAGTAAATTTCCAGATTTCAGTCTGATAGATTCTGTTTTGGTCTTTTTTAATTTCTCCTTGAGAGAAAGAGAGAGAGAGAGAGAGAGAGAGAGAGAGAGAGAGAGCATGGATGGTAATTACCTTCTGCATCATCAATCATCAAGTTCCCAGAAAGCAAATCATTGTGAGAATAGACAATAGGAGCATTAAAACGATCTGTCAGGACCTGTGTTCCATAAGAAGATAAATTTTACAAATAAAATAGTGTTTCCCCAACCAAACGAATGCCAAAGTAATCAGTATAAAAATGTCCATTTTGACCAACACAACATGGCTTCCCAATGTGTACCAAGTTACCAGTTCATTTCATTTGATGATAAATCGATATTGGCTAAAACTGAAGCAATATAACTTTATCGTAAAGCAATAAATGTAAATAATCTTTCTCATCCCAAAGCAGGAAACATGAAGAGAAAGAAGTATATTGACATAAGCAAATAGCAGACAATATTATCTTCCACAATAGTGACGCTATCGTGGATGAATGGAGAAATGAAACAAGCCGGAAGGTTGAGACAGCGAAGCTTATAGTACAAAACAGAACAACATGGCAAAGTTTTAGATCTAGAATCTAGATAACTACCAACATTCTCTTCTTCAGAACAAAATATAAATATACCATGCAAATCATAAGAAAGACATGAAGCAGATGATAACCTTGAGTTCAGAAAGTTCTGTCTTTATTTCTTCAAATGAAACCACATCATACTTCTTTTGCTTCTCAACATCGTCAAATTTGAGGCTTGATGCTACATGCAACGACATATTAGATCCGATATGAGATAATAATAGTTATTATTATTAAGAAGAAGAAGAATAGAACAAATATTCCGAATTCACCACATGAAGCACAGGAATACGTGCAAAAGTCACACGAGTCACCTTTATAACTACTAGAAAGATTATCATACTACACCTCTGTCAAAGAACTTGAAAATATCATTCCAAAGTTGCGGATCTCTGGAACCGGGGATTTCCACCTCATGAAATTTTCGAAGCTGTTTAGCAATTTCTGCCACAAGCTTTGGCTGCCGCATGTCTGTTACGAAATGAAACAAAACATATGAAGCGATTCTTAACCTGATCACAATTGAGCCAATGAAATATTGCCACAAATTCAAACTTTCGAAATTGATCAGACAACCAACTTAAGAAATGGTGCTCATAGATTGGAACTTGAAAATATAAAGGAGATTGTCTATTGGTAGATATATCCATTGAAAAGATAATAACCATTTCCTAATACATGTTATCTTTACCAGATGGAGTAAGTGTACGAGCATTAATGAATGATTGCACCATGCCATTCCCAAAAACTCCCAGCAACTTAGCACCAAATCCTGCAGCTGAAAGGTATGGGATAGCCTAAACACAAATGCAGGATTCGTGTTAAATCATATTTCAGATAATGCTGGAAAAATTTCCAGAACACATCTGAGTTTAGGATAACATATCATTAATAATTAAGTGCTATATGTTCAGAAACTTAGAACTCAATGAACATACGGACAATAGAAAACTTCAGTGATGTACCTGCAGCTCCCTTTCACGATTGATCACATATTCAGTATTTGGTCCATATAATCTAACTGTGATACTCACAACATTGCCATTTTTCTCTCTCACGGACACCTTGAGTACTGTTACAATAGAAAGACAACATTAGGGCATTATCACTGGGACATTGGGCAGAGAGCAAACAGCCACTGCTAAGGAGACAGTTATAGTTCAATAAATGGCAATAAGATTTAATACTTAAACACACACACACACACACAACATATATATATATAACTTGCAATTCATCACGGAAGAAATGACAATATCGTGAAAGGCAACAGGAGAGACGCACACAAGTTCGTGATTCCACCGGATACTCTTTCAAGGGAGAACCTTGATTCCTCCAAATCTGACCATTGTTTGAATAGATCTTTGCATAGCTCCCTGAAAATATCACAGAAAAGAAAAGTTTCTCAAAAAAATACAAAATATACTCAAACTTAACAATCAATTTGACTGTGACATAAGGATTAAGGAACAAAAGAACTTGCTACAAGTGAAACATTGGTTTTAAGAAGTTTACAGTCCACTTGCGTACCATACCAGCAACAGTTTGTAAAATGCTCTTATCTAAATACTGTAAGAGGCACATTTTCCAATTATGTTCAATAGTATCCATTAATACATAGTAGCAAAGGCAGCACATTGGCCAAAGATGCTCTAAGCAATGGCAATGGACTCATATCTTACCATGATGAGTCGCATAGAACACATAATATTATAAAATTTTAGTAGTTGTTAACAGAAACAAATATACAGCAATACCAAATGGACCCAACCACTTTTTCAGAAATTTCCACAACTGATATTGGCACAAATTTCAGTAATAATCTCAACAAATCAGGACCAAGAATGAAACCCATTGTTTAAGCAGAAGAAAAAATAAATAAGCATTAAAAAAAGTGAAGGTTTCAGCTGTAGGTGGTATGGAGAAAGAGAAAAAAGGATGAGGATACAAGTCAGTGAAGAGATGACGTGGGAGAAGTGAAAGGTGTAACAAAATTGAACGAATATCAGCTCCACTTTTCCCATTTTTATTTCTTTCATGTCTTCCCAAAGGCATATCTTGGGACTTGGATAGCCATTCATAAAGGTCCTTGCATAACCAAGAAGCTTCTCCCGAGTTATTGTGCAACAAGTGCATGGCATCCACAACTATGCACCAAAACAGCATTGGTTTTTGGTTAACTGTAACACCACGTCTCTATGATCAACAAAAAAGGGGATGCCTACAGTGGAATGAGGGAGTGCTAAGACTACACAAACTTTGGGAATGCCACTTATATCTTAGTCAGGGTGGAAACCTGAACTAATCATTCAATTCACAATGTCGAAGTATCAAATTTGATAAAGGGAAGTGGTAATGGGACAGCAATACAGAATATCAGTGTACCAAAAGAAAAAGGTGTCAACAAGGCATTTGAGACTCAGGGTTCAGGGCTTAACACAAAAAAGGAAAACAAGCAAGTACCAACACGAACTTTCTACGAAATAATCATATGTAGTCGATCAGTCTCGACGATCGGAAGAAGCAAAACGAAAGAACGATTTGGCCGAAAAATAAAAATTACTTTGAGAACATCATGCATTCCATACAAGAACTCTGGAACAGAACTCGATATGTAACTATCATCTCCATCAATAGCACATCTCATCCAAGTCTTCCTCACAGTTCAATATCTGATGCTACCTCCACTTAACTGTGGATGCAATCACCAAAATCGTATTTACAGTACAAAGGACCTTGCTCATAATCGATTATAGTACACCCTAGCTACTCATTTCATCTACTAATACGTAACTATATATATCCATTACAAAATCTTATCTTTCAGTACCACTTGCTTACTGTTTGCACAATCCTAATAGAATTATCCCCAGCCCATGAATTTTCAGCCTCCCCAAACAATTTTGTTCGACTCACAACATTGGCCAGTTTTAAAGCAATCCAAATTGTCTCCTAGGATCTGTAATTGCTCAAAAGGTCCAATATGACATACACTAGTGGCTTTAACGACAATTTCAGCTCTATTTATTGCCGCTGAATTAGACTTCCGATAGATGAGAGGAACTATGACTCAAAAATAACAAAGCTAGCTCAATCAAGATTTGTATTCGTCTGACTCTTAAAAGCTAATTTGATCATTTTTTCGCGAGCGAAAAGAAAAAACAGACAAAATCCGCGCAACATTCAATTGAAAGGGTCTTCTCCAAATGAGGTAAGAAAAGAATGGAAGAACACCAGCGCTGACAATAAAAGCAAAGAATGAAAAGAGGAATACTGACACGATGAAAAGCTTCATATCGGGGAGGGCGAGAGAGTGATCGATCGTGATGGAGGACGACGGAATCTCGGAGCTGTGGCTCTCCGCCACCCCCGCCGCATCCCAAATCTTTTCTGCCGCACCCATTTTTAACTTTTTTTTTTTTTGTGCAGATTAACTCAGCGCCTTGACTATCCCAAGCTTGAGAAATGCACAAAAATGTTCAAGTTGTGATGGGATGAACGAGTACTGTTCCGTGATTTGTTGTTGTCTTGTTTATGGCGAAGGCGAACACGACCAAAGAAAGAAGAACCATGTATTGGAGTTCTCAATAATAAAATCAGGCTTATCCGAGGATTCGATTAAAATGACGAAAATGGCCCTGCCTCGCTGACCATATCGCTTGACGAGGCCATTTCACGGTTCCAGGTCGGCACCGCCAGTTCCAGGCGAAGGTTGGAGGGTCTTGAACGTACGGACCAGTTTAGTGAATCGATAATTCTGAGCTGACTCGATTTAATTAAAAAATATAAATAAATAATTAAAAAAAATAAAAAAAGGACCAAATCGACATTTCCGATTCCAATTGGGAACTGGCTTGGCGGTTCAAAAATTTTAAAAATGTGGCCTGGAATTGGCTCGGTCAAACTACGGGCTCGGTTCAAGACCCATTGACCCAGGCTGATTTCGGGCTGATTCAGGCCGGACTGGTCTGTGGACATGTCTAGGTGTTGTTTGAAGGAGAGCAATTCGCAGCGACGACTGTTCAATAACGATGGTAAACTTTCTTATTTATATATATGTATATTTTATTTATCCTGTGATTTGTTGTGGTATTTTTTTTTCTTCTTAAACACTACGCATTATTTTGTTGTGATTCATTAACAAATTTATTGAATTTGTCAACTTTTAGATTTGTGGCTTAGTGATGATCGGCTATGTTTGGTAAAACTAGCTGATAAGCTAGCTTATAGCTTATAACTTATACTTTTGAGCTTATAACTTATGACTTATAGCTGAAAAGCTAGCTTATATGATAATAGTGTTTGGCAAAATTAGCTGATAAGCTAACTAAAATAAAAAATTCAACTAGCTTATTTGAAAAACTACCTAAAGTAGCTTATGAGATAAGCTCGAGCTTTTTAAAAAAGTCCGTCCTACCAAACGAGACTTATATGAATACAGGAAGCTTATAAGCTAACCAAATAAGCTATAAGCTAGCTTATTTGGCTTACCAACCACGGCCTATAGCTTATAGCTTATGACTTATAGCTGAAAAGCTAGCTTATATGATAAAAGTGTTTGGTAAAATTAGCTGATAAGCTAGGTGAAATAAAAAATTCAACTAACTTATTTGAAAAGCTACCTAAAGTAGCTTATGAGATAAGCTCGAGCTTTTTAGAAAAGCTCGTCCTACCAAACGTGACATATTGAATACAAGAAGTTTATAAACTAACCAAATAAGCTATAAGCTAGCTTATTTGGCTTACCAAACACAGCCGATGTCCTAAAGAATCTCACCCTCGCTGAAATTGAGACTTTGTTGAGAAGTTGTGGCACATGTCTTCGTGAATATTTGTTCATGCTTTATCTGGAGGTAGAAGTATTCACACAACTTCAAACCGCCTTATATTGGATGAGCTTAATTATGATCGGACGACCCTAGCTGTCGAGCACGAATCACTTCTTAGGTGAATGACCGACGAACAAAAAGGGAGTTATTCAAAAATTATATCTGTTGTTGACTCAGGTACCGATGGTGTATTTTTTGTATACGGTTATGGTGGAACTGAGAAGACATACTTGTGGAGGACTTTGTCTGCAGCGTTACGATCGAATGGTAAAATCATTCTATGTGTGGCATTGAGCAAAATAACATCGCTTTTGTTGTCTAGTGGAAGAACTGCACATTCTCGATTTCGCATACTGTTGAGTATTCATGAAAATTCGTCATGCGAGATCAACTAGGCAAGTTCTCTTGCGGAATTGATAATACGACGCTCTCTCATCATGTGGGACGAGGCGTCGATGATGCACAAACATTGCTTCGAAGTTGTTCAAGCATCACTGCAGGTTGTCATGGGAGCAGTTAACACTTCGAACAGTAGCATACCCCTCGAAGGCAAGCTTGTTGTATTTGGTGGAGGCTTCCAACAGATCCTTCCTATCGTTACAAATAGGAGTCATCAGGACATTGTGAATGCAACTATTGATGATTCCAACATTTGGAGGGACTGTACTGTGCTGCGGTCTACAAAAAACATGTGTCTTCAAACATTTATGATTTGGACAAGCGTGATGAGCTAGCAACGTTTGTTGATTGGGTTGCGAGCATTGGAGATGGGACTATACGAGGATCAAATGTTGGTTGTGCTTCGGCTGACATACCAGATGATATAAAGATCGGATCCCTCTGATGATCCAAGTGCTACAATTGTAAAAAGTACCTATCCAATGTTCAAGAGTGCAACTGATTATCCAAGTTATTTGAAGGATAGGGTTATATTAGCTCCAATGTTGGAGGTCGTTGAGTCTATCAGTCAATACACGTTGGAGATGAATTCAGCTAAAGGTCGTACTTATGTGAGCTCTGATAGTATGTCTAATTCAGATTCCAACGAATTCTTGGCAGATCTGCACACGCCCGAGTTCTTGAATAACATCAAGTGTTCGAGAACATCGAAGCATGAGTTGCATTTGAAGATAGAAACTCCAGTCATGTTGTTCCGCAACATGGACCATTCTATGGGACTATGCAATGGAACACGATTGGTTGTGACCAAACTCTCCACTCATGTACTCGAATGCAAGATATTGACTGGAAATCACGTAGACGAAAAGGTGTTAATTCCCAGAACGAATATAACTCCTTCCAATTTTAGGGTTTCATTTAAGTTTCAGCGGCGGCAATTCCTACTTATGGTTTTGTATGTCATGGCTATAAACAAGAGTCAGAGTCAGTCTTTATCGCACGTAGATCCATTCTTGAAGAAACCTTTTTTTAGACAATGTCAATGATATATTGTTGTTTCACATGTAACTAATAGAAAGAAGTTGAAAAATATTAGTTTGTGGGACGACGAGTTGCCCAGTAATCAAATTAATAATATTGTGTACAAATAAATTTTTAATAATATATTATTTTTGTTTGACGAACATTTTATTATTGAACAATATTTCGACATATTATAACTCTTCTATTTATTAATGCACTTCAGTTTACAATTTACCTGCTAGTGCAATTAGAAAATAGAGTAACCATTAAACCAAATAAATGAATCTTTTATATAAATGCATTATCTGATTAGGAAAAGTTGTATATTATTTTGCTACACACAAAAAAAAAAGAGAAAAAAAACATCTATTCCCATTTATAAACTAACAAAATTAATATTGAGAACACAAACCGGAAACTAGAGAGGCTTTTATTAATAACATTAAGATCTACACTATAAAACTTGTTATTGTCTGTAAAGGAGAAAGAGCAGCAGCAAACTGAAAATGATAGTAAAATTTCCCAAATGCCTATGAAAATATGAGGTACATATATATAAATATATGCATTAATCATATCAACTTCTTATAAGAACAACTTCTATAGTAACATATATATATTTTGATACATCTGATCAAGTTCAATCATATCAACTTCTTCTTAGAAGAACAATTCTTTGAGCAGTCCAACCAGCAAGATATCAAGCCAGCCAATCCTCCCTCTCGTGGCTTCGAGATGTCCATTTCCCGTCTCTCGAGCACTCTTAGGAACTCGTCTGAGCTCAAGCTCCCATCCCGGTCAGCATCAAAAACGTAGAACACCAAGTCCACCACTTTATCAGTCAGCAAAATGCCGCAAACCTTTCACATATCACCAGCAAAATCTATCAATTCAATCGATAAATAACACAAAACAGACCGACATACTTTTTTTGACAAATATTTATTCTTTCGCACACGTTGCAACGCTATTGTTTGGCATCATAGTAAGATTCGTACTTTCGAGCACGTTGTATAATTACTTTGAATTATCTTATGAAATTTGTATTATAGTAGAAGTTGACTATAACTAAATCAGATTAGACTATGTTTAGCAAAACTAACTGATAAGCTATCTGGTAGCTTATCAGTAATTTTCGAAAGAGTAGATTTGTGTACGAAGGAACAGTGGAGAGTGTAAATTGTACTCGTTCGGTTGCTCTTTTGAAGTCTTGTTTCGAGAGAAGGCCGTTGACTTTTCCGTAGCTGAAGAGTGCCAGAGAAAACGGCTCTAATTTTCTCCGGAGGTCGGCGAAATTCTTGAACTCCTCAAACGTGATGCGTATGTCCCTTAGAGACGGCTCGTTTTTGAGCTCTTCCGCTTGGTCGAGAAATTTGTTTATGTACCTCATGTCGGCAGACGCCACCATCGACAGGATAAAATCCTTCGCCGAGATGTTCCCACACGACTTGTAATCGTAGTGCGCGAATTCCAACCTCACCATCTGTTTTTCATTTCATTCTTAAATAAAACCAATAAAAATCCTAAAGAAAGTTATATATATACAAGGGAAACGACTGCAGTCCGGAATTATTCTGTCAATGTTTTTAACCTTAGATTATCTACCTTAATGTACATGTGTTTATTTGACGGTTAAAGACACTGATGGAATAATTCTATAAGAGGACTGTAGTCATTCCCTATATACAAGATAAAGAGAACAAAAAAATAAATAAAAATAAGAAATAAATAATACCTCGTCGTGCAAGTCTCGTAAGAATTGGACAAACTTGTCGTGATCAAGATGTTGATTTCCATCTTGTCCAAAGAAGTGCTCGAGTAGGCCGCCATCTTCTACAGATCCCGAGACTTTTAGGCCGAATCTCTTGCCATCTCTATGGGAGGCACCTTGTCGGTTTTGGGTTCGCATGAGTGACATCACCTTCCGGAACTCGTCTCTTTCTACGCTTCTGCGTGCACGAAATTTGTCGGCATTAGAAAAAATTGGAGTGACAATATGCGATAAAAGCAGGGGAAATTTAAAAATGGAAAACGGTGCATGTACCCATCGTTATCGAGGTCGAACATTTTAAATGCTATAGAAAAGCTCGATTCCGGTATGCTCAGTATCGTAACAAAGAAAATATACCTGCGATGAAGAAAAAATGTTGAGGCGCTATTTAGATGCTTAACGTCAATTGTCTTTTTCAAGTTATGGGAGACTCACTCTGGAAATGATATAAGGCCATCATTGTCCATGTCGAACAACTTAAAGAATCGAGAAGGAGGACAATGTAAGTCACTAATAACATGTTCGCCTTCGAGATAACCTCCTCTAACGGCATCTGCTTCAGATGGTGGGAAAACGGGAATCACTGCTCTCAT